GGCCATATTGATGTCTGGTAATATCAATTGAGTCATCTGCCAAGTATTTGACTTCTACCGTGATATTCTTATTCATTCTGCAGGAGAGATGTAAGTGGAAGTTCTTTAGTCTTGAAATAACTGTGCTGGATTGGTTCGTGGAAATCACATCGGAGTAGATGATGGTGTCATCTTTTTCCTTACCAAATCAAAGACAAACACAAAGCAAGGTCTTAGGAACTATATTCTATCAAAAGAGTTAAAAGCATGAAGTTATAACAATCCAATATACAGTCAGGCCCTCCTTAAAATCTGCAATTACTTACCCTGGCAAATTCAAGATCCTAACTTCAAACCTTAAACTCCTTTAGTCCACCCCAGCCTCTCTGATGACTATCACAGCAGTGATGGCTCCCTGTTGCCTTGAACTGGGCTGTCTTTGACAATGAGAACTGTTACCTTATGTCCTTTTGTCTCTTTCCTTTTCTAGCTCCTCTTCTTTCTTACTGCTTTTACCCTTCAAGCCAGTAGTCTCCCTGATTCTTATAGATCTTTGGCTCTTCAAAATTCTGGGCTTTGCCACAAGTTGCCTTGAAGAGCTAACTAAGCAAAAAAAAAATTATTTTCCTTCACTCAGTTTTCCAGTACATGTTTATATTTTAGGTATAGTGATTTCTGAGAAAAATTATTCAGGAAGGAGAACATCTAGGTTGAGAGATGATATATGGTTTGTTCTCCATTTTTCCTGCTAAGGAAGAGAGCATGACTATCCAAAACATCACTTGTATATGGTTTAAGAATGCACAAGATAAAATATATAGGAAGAGAGTATTTCCATGACTCATTCATAAAAATCACCCTCATTGCTATATGATCAGCTCATAGATACCAGTTCTTCCAGAAATCCTTGTATACTTTTAAGCTTTAGTCATTTATGTTGTAGGCATGATAATTAATCTTTAAAGCAATAGCATTAGGTGATTTTACAAAATGTAGTTTTCTTTCAGATCCTGTGACAAATAAAAAATGGCAGCCACAAATGGAAAGATAATTTTTTTCAGCAGCCGAAGAACTGACTGCTCTCCATGGTGCTGACTCTGTCAGTGGCCAATGACCAGGACTCTCATTAAGATGTTAATCAATATCACTCAATCAAACATTTATTAAGTGCCTGCTACGTGCAAGACACTGTTATGTTACATATTGAAACATGTAAGTTCACCACAGTTAAAGCCTGCATAGTTAAATGAAGCCTATGTGGCAGGCATACTTAAAACGCGAAGGTGGAAAGTCAGTCTTACCTTTTTGGAAGAGAGATAGCAAAGGTAGGCCCAGACTATAAGTACTCCTTTGCTGATTATTTTATTGGACCCATCCTTGTTCCTTAAATGTTGCTCTCCAAGCTTACAACTCTAGATCTTTTTTGTGGAAGAATAAGTTGTTTTAGTGCCCTAAGCAAATGTATCTATGCAGTGTTCAGTGATCTAATATTTCATACTCAATGTCATGATCTTGTGTATTTTACTCTGTGTTTGAGGAAGCTGCTGCTGAACCAGAATGGGATGTTGTGTCATCTGTGTACCTGGGAGAACAGAGTCTTTATCTAGGGGTCGGGTTACTATGTATGTATTGTTAGGAGCCAAAGGCCCTGATCAGGTTCTTTATCAAACCAGTGGAAAATTGGTGGCCTGGGATGGCTTGCATGAAAGTCACTCTGTATGCCTATCTGAAATAATGGATTTTAAGGTTCTACCTTCATCTATCTGTAGAGAGTAGAGAAAACGGCTAAGGTTAGATAGTACTAGCCAGCACAACCTGTATTTTATGACTGGTAGTCAAAATAAAAGAGGAAACATTTGTTTTTGCCTTTAAGAGTGATTTACATTTTTTCTATATTACCTTCATCCACAGTTTAATCATTATGCAAGACTTTTCAGAAGGCCTTGAAATTATATGTAGAGATACGTATGTCATATATTTTACATTTATTGCAACTGAATTTCACTTCCTGGTTATATTCTCCTGAGATTAATGTTTAAATTAGTTTGCATTTTTGCATTTTGAGGAGAAATATTCATGAATAGGGGGGCATAGCAGTGGTAAGATCAGACAGGGGGCTCTTATAAGTGAGTTTGGTGAATAATCCTCATTGAAGGAATCCGAGAAGGGAGAAACAGTGGTGTATTGGAAACAACAATGAATATGGAATGGGGAAAGCTAGGTTCTTGACCCAATTCCATCATTTACTAGTCCTGTGACCTTTGGCAATATAGGATGTAGTGGAAAGAACATTGAAATTAGAATTAGAAGATCTGAGATTGCATCTTTGTTGGGATGTTTACTAGCTGTATAACCTTAGGCAAGTTGCTTAATTATTCCAAGACTTAGAGCTCACATCTGTTAAATGGATAATACATGTCTTATTTACCTCACAGAATTGTTGTATGAAAAGTGCTTTGTAAACCTTCTAATACTCCATAAATGTGAGCTACTATTTATTATTCACCTCACTCAGTCTCATGTGATGAAGTAGGACCCAATGTTCTCAGGAGTCCCTATGACCTCTGATGGTGTCTAATTCTAGAGTTCTGTGGCTTGATTGTACTGAGGTTTGATTGTACTTGAAGTTCATGATTTCTCACCTGTATGACAGTTCCACAACCATTAAATGGGATGCTGAATATTATGTATCTTGTGATGACTTCAGGCTCACAGGATGAGTTGTGCAAAAATATATTCTCAGCACTGTAACCTAGTGACTGCAGATATTGCTTGTTGACTGCTGCATACATCTGATCTTCTGTGCGTGACAGTGCTAGTGGAGAAGTAGTGGGGGGAGGATTGTATTATTACACAAGAGTCCTGAGTTCTAGTTTAAGCTCTGCTACTTGCTATTCATGTGGTCTTTGCCAAATCATTTAACCTCTCTGAGGTTCAATGACTGCATTGTCAAATGAGGACAGAAACATGAATCTGACTTACAGCATCTTTGTGAGGATTAGTTGGGGCCATGTGAGATTATTATGAGAGGGAACATAGCACAGTGGACAGAGATCTGGATTTGGAGTCAGAAGAAAAAAATTTGAACCCTGCCTCTTCTAATTACTACTTGTGAGACCTTAGACAAACTACGCGACCTCTCTGGGTCTCCATTTCCTCATATGTCAAATAAGGAGTTTGGAATAGATGCCCTTTAAGTTCTAGTAGAGGAAGCATGGAATAGTGAATAGAACACAAGACTTGAAGTCATGGAAGTTCAAATCCTGATTCAGATACTTGACTAACTGTGTGAACCTGAACAAGTCATTTAACTTCTCTTTGACTCAGTTTCCTCATTTGTGAAGTGAGGAAGTTAGACTCATTGACCTGAAGATCCCTTGTAGCTCTTAAATCTATGATGTTACGTATTTGAACAATCTTTGAAAATATACATTGTTTTAGAAATATAAGGAAAAATAAATCCACCACAAAGTGTGATCAAATAAAACCCAGAGGTTGCCTGATACCTGCTGGGAATGGTGGTTTGAGGGCCAGCTTTAGTGAGGTAAAGGTGGCTTAGATTTTTCTCACATTTTTTTAGAATCAGGAACACTGGACCTCAGTGATGGGCAAGTTTTCTCATTCAAGCAAGGCTGAAAGATATATCTCCAATGAGAAATACCAACCACTTCCAGATCTTTCAACGGTGCTGTTAGAAAAGGAAATTTCTACAGAGGCAAGGAATGGCTCCTTTGGATTGAGCGATAGAACAGAAATTTGGGTTGCAGCCTTATAGTCCTGAATGAGATGCTAAATTGCACCAAATACTTTATAAATCTGGATCTTGTCTTCAAAGCTAACAATAGTCACTTAGGTCAGAGATCCATTGTGAGGAGGAATCAGAAACAGATGATTGCAATGACTTTGCCGATATAGCACTGAGGAAATGGTAGGGCCTATCAGGCTAGTCCCCTACTCAATCTGGCCACATTCTCCTAGTCAGTCTAACCTCTGCTGGGATTTCCCTGAGGTCCTCATCTAGGTTTATGAAAGAATTAACAATGGCCACAAATGAATACATAACATGAATTCATGAAGCATCTGTGATTTCAATGGTATGCATAATTCCAGATATAGGAGCTCCTTACCCTGTTTCAGATCTAAATCCATATATACTTCAATAGATAAATTCTAGGGAGTTGCTATCATCTATAAAGCACACAAAGATTAGAAGATTTACTTAGAGCAAAACAACTTAGTAAGTATCAGAATCAGGATTCGAACCCAGGTCTTCCTGGCTCAAAGTCTAACAGTCTATCTACTGAGCCATACTGCCTACATAACATGAATATGGTTTATTCTGAGAAAGTGTGGCATTAATAGAAAAAGCTCTGAAAATTGTGTCAGAAGATCTGAGTTTCAATGCTGTCACTACTATTTGCTGGCTGTGGAATCCTGGGCAAATCACTTTGACTCTTCAGCCTAAATTAAATCATATGTAAAAAGAGGATAATAACACTTATGCTACTTATCTCACAGGATTGTTGTAAGGATCAAATGAGATAATATATGTAAACAACTCAGTAACTTTCAAGTGTTGTATAAGAACGAGCTGCTTTTGCTGTTATTTCAACTGAGTATTGTTTCTCTGAAGTTGAACACTTAAAATTCTCTCTCTCTCTTTCTCTCTCTCTCTCTCTCTCTCTCTCTCTCTCTCTCTCTCTCTCTCTCTCTCTCTCTCTCTCTCTCTCTTTCTCTTTCTCATTTCCTTTTTCATCTACCACCCAAATCTTCTAAGCCAAGAAAAAGGAAGATGTGCAATGTTAAGAATTTTGACTAAGCCTCAGATTGGTGAAAACTCCTCTAAACAAAGGCTAGATAAGGCTAGGTATGAACATGAATCATAAATGAGGTGGTTTTGTTTTGGGTTGTTGTTTTATCCTCTAGCACTTAGGCAACCTGAGATTGGTGGGGTAGGGAAGGAGTAGGGATGGGGATATAGAAACATGTTTTTTCCTTGCCTGTGTCATTATTATCCTGTGGAAGAGCAAAATAAGAAGCCTGGAATCCAGATTTGGTGACAAATGAGTCACTAGAAAATTGTACTTTCATCTTGTTGGAAGGAGACAAAAATGTCTCATTGGAAGCATCACAGAAACGCCCTAGCAGGTCAGATGAGCTCTGGGATCCATCAAAGATGTCAACATGGCTCGAAGAACAGTTAAGAGAGAGTTCATCCCTGGGAAATAGAAATTAAAATTGAGGTTATATCATCACTCAGGCATTTGGGACATTCATACATTAGGAGCCAATTTTTTCAAGAGAAATGATGTGGAGCATGGTGGTTCATGCCTGTAATCCCTGCTACTGGTGGAAGCTCATGTTGGTGGGTTGTTTGAGCTCAGGAGATCTGAACCACAATAAGGCTAAAGCTTATCAGGCACCAAACTGAGCAGGATGGTGGTGGTGGTGGTAAATGCCTGGTATATCATAGGTGCTAAATACTTTTGCATTTGTCACTGGGTTTTTTTAAATATATAATAATGCCTGATATTTATAAATGTAATTTTTCATTTAAAAAATCATTCACATAATTTGTCATGTATCCCTTAATGGCAACCCTTCAAGGTAGTATGAAACAGGTATTCTCATCCCCATTTTATAGAAAACAACCTAAGTCTCAGAGAAGTCAAGTGACTTTCCCAAGGTCACATAGCTAATAAGTGATAAAACCAGGATTCAAACTGAAGACTTGAATTAAAGATGCCAAATTCAATGAACTTTTTACTATACTACAGAGACACTCTCCCACATATCCTTGGTCACTATAATTGAGAAGTGGGAGATTTTCCTCTACTCCCTAGAACAACAGTTATCAACTTTTTGGTCTCAGGACTCCTAATTGCAATCAAAAATTATGAGGACCCACAAAAGTTTTTATTTAGTGGGTTATATCTCTGCATATTTTCAATATTAGAAATTGAAATATCTTGGTATTACCATGAAAGTAGTTTTGACCTAATGGTTCCCTTGAAAGGTCCTAGGGATCTCTAGGAGTCCACACCTTGAGAACCACTGCCCAAGAGAAAGATTTATGTTCTTTGGTGTCCAGCTCTTAAAAATAATGATTTGCCTTTTAAAAAAATCTAAATGCTTATTCTGGTGTCATACTCTTTAAAGAGCTCAACAGGAATATTTGGGGTTGTATCAAGATGTCACCAAAACAACTAATTGAAAATGTTAGGAACCCAATAAGTTTCTTTTGCATTATGTTGACACAAATGACTGATACTGTTTAGTGACTGGCCTCAAAAAAAGAAGATACCTCCCTTGACTCTTTGCAGAAGTGGGGTACCATGCATATGGAACACTGAATATAATGTGAGGTTTTTTTTGATATATTAGTTTTGCTGAACTTTTTTTCCTTCCTACTTTTTTTTTTTTAATTGTAAGGGATGGCTTTCTAGAAGGGGTGGGAGAGAAATGTAATGTAAATGATATGAAAGTAAGAGATGTCAATGAAAATTTACTTTGGAAAGAAATAATCAGATAATTTCAATTTAGAGTACAGGCAAAACAATAGAGCCCTCATCTCGCATGAGCTTGTCCTAGAAAATGAGACCATTGAGATTTTATGCTAGAGTTAAAACTTTACTACCTTACTTAGACTCTTGTTCTGATTTCCTCAAACCCATGCTATTTAAACTGCAAAACCATTCAGCAGAGCAGAGATGAATGGTGAAGTCACACTTTCCCTTAGTTCAATACTCATGTGGTCAGAATTCTTCTCCACCTCTTCCAGGACCTCAAAGATCCTAGGAATCTCACTCAATACTCAAAAACCAAGGCCATAATAATTCTTACAAAGGCAAGGGCTCCACTTTGGAGCCCTAAGAGTCCCAGCCAACCTTCTTCAGAAACATTCAGCAGCTATTATATTAGCCCTCACCTTAGAGAGAATGGGTATGGCCTTGTTTTTTGAACACTGAGTGAGATTCCTAGGAACTTTGAGGTCCTGGAGAAGGTGGAGTAGAAGAACCCTGACCACCCGAGTATTGAGCTCCAGAAAAGCTCATCTCTGCTCTGCTGAATGATTTTTCAATTTAAATAGTAGCATTGCTTTGAGGGAATCAGAGCATGAGTCTGAGTAAGGTAGTAGGGTTTTAACTCTAGCCCATGAGAGAAGAGGGCTCCGTTGTTTTGCCTGTACTCTATATTGAAATTATCTGATTTCTTTCCAAAGTAAATTTTTATTGACATCTTTTGTTTTATCATCACTTAATTTTTCACTGTATCTTTCTCCCACCCCCTTCTAGAAAGCCATCCTTCTAATAAAATAATAAAAAAAAGAGAAGGGAAAAAGTATTCAGCAAAACTAACCAATATATGAAAAAAAATCCACTTCTTCATAGTCTGTTAGAAGGAATATAACAACTCAGGTAGCTATAATATATGTCCTTACTTAAAATCTGTATTAGAGGGTTAAAAACCAAAGAACTATATGAAATCCAAGGAGGTAGGTTATTACCAACTGGGGTAATTAGGGTGGGTACCCTAGAGACCACATATTAATGAAGTACCCTACCTAGGCACAATGTGTCTAAAATTTCACCATTAGAGAGCCCTCCCTTGAGGAAGGGATTGACCTGTCAGAAGAATATACATTGTAATTAGCATGTTAACATTTCATTTAACAAATTCACTTCTATCTATCTCAGGAAGCCCTGGGGGCTCACTTATCTTCCCTCTTTTCACATGAGTACCTGCATCTTAGAAACTGGTTTCTAGTCTTCTCAAAGGGATGAGTCACAATCTCTTCTTTGTCCTTGTTCCTTCAAACTCTCTTCATCTCAGTCCACACTATCAGGCTGATAAATGGACAGTCTTGTAGGTGAAACAATGATAAAGTTTTGTAGCAAGGTTGAAATGCAGATAAGCTTTCAAGCAAGGCTCATGTAAATAGAAACTCTTACTTTTTAGAGTTCAAAAGATTTCTTTGAGCTTGGTAGGGGTAAGGGAAGGAATAACTTCTATTCTGTAACAAATCTTCTTACAGCTAAATGTCTTTGTGTTTTCTGTGTTATCAACTATAGCTTCTGATGACCTTACAAATGCAAGCTGTATAATTGTTATGATTATAATTGTTATTATCGTTATTTTGCCACAACATCCCGAGAGATAGACTAGTGCAGAAGACAGCACCAAGCTGGGAATCATCCGATCTGCTTTCTAATCCCAGCTCTCCACTAATTGGTTGCATGACTTTGGGCAAATTATTTCTGTCCAATAAAAATCATAGGACCATAGATTTTGGGCTAAAAGGGACTTTTGAGGTCATTTGACCCAATTCATTTAAAAATGGAGAAATCTGACACCCAAAGAGGATAAATTACTTGCCCAAGGTCATAGGTTATACATAACAGACAAAACAGAATTTGAACAAGGTTCTCTGACTCCAAATCCAGCACTCTCCCACGTTGCTCCTCAAACCTTAGATGACCTCTAAGGTTTGTTTCCAGCTCTAACAATCTGTTAATCAGTGAAAGCAGGAAAGGGTACATAAAGAGAATTTAGGGGTGCTGAGAGCAATTCAGCAGGTTTCACAGTTTTGTGGAGGGTTATAATTCCATATGGCAAAAGGCAACTAAAATCTGATTTTCCCATTTGGCCAGTTTTAGTCTTATACCTCCCATATCAGCGTTATAAAGGGATTGGAGCTTCCACATGAATAACCTAGGTAGGACAATGAAATGCAAAACCTAATTTTCCAGATCTGATGGAAATAAAGACCCAACAAACCAATTAGGTAAAGATGGACTGAGAGTTTTCTTAATATCAACAATCCAGTTGTCTTCTTACTCGAATGTTTTCAGGGTAAGGCTTATCTGGTAGGTCTTTGGCACTTTGATCTCCCAGACACATTGCACACTGTGTGGATAGTTTTCCAGATACAATGGGCCAGAAAATGTCCCTTTGGGCTGGATAAGTAGACCTCCACAAGGTAGAGCAGCTACAAAGGGAGGAAAAAAGGACCAGTTGACAACATGGTCAAGTTGAAAGAGTCAAGACACTTGGGCTTAAGTCCTGACTCCATCACTGTCTGTGAGAGCTTAGACAAGTTACCTCTTGGGGCTTTGCTTTCCTCATACATAAAATGAGAGTTGTTACCAGTAAAGCATTTTTAAAAATTAAATAAAGTGAGAGTTGGAGAGGTCCTTTGTAGTTGTAAGATTGCCTGATCTATGCATTTGTTTGGAGTTCTACTCCTAGTTTCTCCATACCTCTTATTCTGTCCTTTTTTCTTACCCAATTTTGACCAGAGTAATACTCTGACTGAAATTTGTTGTTTGGATGGACTGACAGAACATTGTTTATTAATATCTGCAGATGACTGCTTTACCTCTACCATCGACCTCTTGAGTAACATCTACAAAGTCTAATTTAAAGGAGAGTCAGGATTTAACCCCTGTTAATCTGAATGATTTAGTCCAAATAATCACAAAATCATAGAATATTCAAGCTAAAGGGCATCTCATACCAACTAGTTCAACCCTCTTATTTGATGTAAAAAGAAGATGAGGAGTGAAATGACTAAGGTCTAAGGTCATGTAGCTAGTAAGTGGCAAGGCTAAGGACCTCAATTATGGTCCCTTGCCTCCAAGGAATTCCATCACACTATGCAGTCTCTACAACAATACTGTTGATACTATACTGTACTGTACTGTATTGTATTATACTCTATGTAATATAATACTACCTTAATATGTACATTTATACATACCTCAAATGGGGTCACAGAGAGTCTGACATGACTGAATGATTGAATGACTGAACAACAACAATAATATATTGTGTGAACATATCTACAAACATACATATTTATATATGTATATATATATACATATACATACATACACATATGGATAAATGGATGGATGGATGAATGGATAGATAGATAGATAGATAGATAGATAGATAGATAGATAGATAGATACCAATCACATATTTACTAAACCATTTCCACATCTGTTTAGCAGGGAAGGAATATGGAATGGTGGATAGAGAACTATTCCTGGAAGACCTGAATTCATGGCCTGCGTGGTAGCTATTACCTTAGGTAAGTCACTTAGCCCCCCAATACCCCTAGTCCACTCTCTAAGACTCTAAGTTGGAGAACAGCACCAATCTGCATTGGTTAAAGAATTTCTGTGTTGGAATTTCCCTAACAAATGAAATCACAGGTCTTGTCCAAATAAACTTGTAAAGTAGATGTTATGATTCCGACTTTATAGATGAGGAAACTTAGTCCCAGAGAAGTTAATAGCAATAACCAACATTTATAAAGCGTTTTGAAATTTTTCCAAACACCTTACATCCATTTTCTCATTTGATTTTCACAGAAGCCTTGGGAAGGAGGCACTACAGATCCTACTATCCCCATTTTTATAGAAAAGGAAAGTATCACTCACAAAGGATAATTTGCCACATCTTGTATGTGTCAGAAGCAAGATTTAAACTCAGAATTTACTAATTTCACGCTAAACACTCTATTAGTCATTCTTAATGATATGCCTAAGGCTAACATAGCTAGGTATGTCTAGGGACAACTAGGTGGTACATTGGAGAGAGTGCAGGGCCTAGAGTCAGAAAGACTCATTTTTCTGAGTTCAAATCTGGCCTCAGATACTTACTAGCTGTGTGACCCTGGGTAAGGCATTTCCTGTTTACCTCAGTTTCCTCATGTGTAAAATAATTTGGAGAAGGAAATGGCAAACCACTCCAGTATCTTTCCCGAAAAAAAAAATCCTCTATGGGGTCACAAAGAATTGGACATGACTGAAAAATGATTAAATAACAATAACAAGGCTACTGAAGTAGTAACTAATGGCTGGGCCTTCCTAGAATCAAGGTTCCTTTAATCCCAAGACTGGCACCATCCTGCCATCTACTTGCCCTAATTTAATAGCATTGAGTGCTAGCTCTAAAATTAGAAAGAGAGGAAAGAGACAAGAGCCCAAGACATAGCAACTAGAAAATAAAACAACTGAGATTATTGACACTATTATTATATCCTTCTGAAACCCTCTTTCCTTCATCCACAAAGATCACCAGAAACCCACAAACAACTCCCCTATCATGGCATGGTTTTGACTCAAGAAAAGAAGCATTACTTACTTGTTGGCACTGTGATTGATGTAGGAGCTGGAAGATCAGAACAACAGGAAAAGTCAATATTAAGATTTAGATTATTCTTATTCATGAAAAATGTCAGTGAGCTTTACACAAGATTTTAAGGCCTCAGATTGTGGTAGCCTTGGAATAAGGAAGGATGTACATATGCAATGCTCACCTTTCCTTCATGTAACCAGATACCATACATATCCAAGTTTCTGTTCAGGCCATGCCTCCACTTTCTATATTCCAGAGTACCCATCATTGGCATGCTTTGTCTCTCCCTGAGTCCCATTCCATTCTCTTTGCTATATTTCTTACTCTTCATTTTGCTCTCCTTGTCCAGAAGCAGATTAGATAGATAAGATAGATAGATAGATAGATAGATAGATAGATAGATAGATAGATAGATAGAGATTTAGAGTTGTAACTGACCTTATAGAAAACTGAGAAGGTTTAAGAGACTTTTTCAATGTCATGTAACAGTAAAGTTGGGATCTGAACCCACATCTTTTCACTCCAAATCCAGCATTCTTTTTTTTTAACCATCCTATAATATTTGGCCTATATAGGCTTAACCAAAATTAATCCTTGGGAGAATCTATAAAGAACCAGGGAGATGGTTCTCTTTTTTTCTGCTCTCAGTACTGCCCAGACATGCCATTGAATGTTTGACTTGGCACTTCTGATCATTTGTCTTGTCTGAAATTCCATTCTCCTTCTATGGATGTCTAAAGCCTATCAATCTTTAAGTGCATGCACAATTGCCACCTCCTCCGTGAAGCCTTCCTTGACTCATGATTTTCTTTTCCTTTTGGAATAGAAACTATTGCATGTCCTTGACATATATATGTGTATACACACACACACACACACACACACACACACACACACACATATATATATATAATATACACATATATATGAAAACAATGATGACATGACATTCTTGGGCCATCATCCTTCAGGATCAGAATCTCAGCATTTTAAGGGATCTAAAGGTAATGTAGTCTAACATATACTTCAAACAGCAATACTCCCTGTAATACCCCCAGCATGTGGCTACCCAGTCTGTACTCCAGGACTTTCACAGATGAGAACTCATTGCTAAAGAAGGAAATTCATTCAAGTTCTAATTGTTGGTGACTCTTTCCTTATATCAACACCAAATTGTATTGTTAGTCACCTTTACGTATGTATACCTTAGTTCCCCAACCACACCATAAGCTTCTTATTGACAACTTCAAGTATCAGGCTATTTCTGTATCCCTCACATTGATTAGCAGCTCACAGGCACTTGGTAAATATTTGTCAAATTAATGAATATGTGTTCCCTGGCCCACAAGACAGATTTGGGGTTTAGGAGTAACTTTTAGCCACAGAATGTGATACACACATACACACACACACACACACACATATATACATATATATATATGCATGCATATATGTACACATATTTATATACATATGCACACGTGTGTATACATATTTATATAACATTCATGCATTCCAAAGAGCTTATTATATGGTTAGACATTTCCTTTTAACAAAATTATAGGAGTGTGTACAAACATCTGAATGGAGTATGAAATCTGGGGAAAAAGACACCCACCAAGGCTATAACACACCAAACATCTGGACATTAAAAAACACCTTAATACTGAGCCAAATATTTTACTTTTGAATGTTGATATCCTATAGAAGAAGACTTCTTCCCTTCCCCTTCTTTTCATTCTGGGAGTCGAAGAGCCTCCTAACTTAATCCAGAACATTAATTGCTTGGTCTATATTTCTGAATTGCTGAACACAGAAATGAATGCACTTCTCATGCAGTAGTATTGTCCTAGGTGATAGGAGTCATCTGAGGCTCACCCACACTTACCTTCCAGCTCAGCGTAGTAATAGCCATCAAACCAAGTAGAGGACTGGCTCGAATTTCTAGAGAACACAACGGTCATGATGTTTGAAGAGGACTGGTAGGTGAGGTAGAATCCATTGCATACTTTCCCCAAAGAACGAGAAGTTGGGGTCCCATCAAGTACTTCAACATATTCAGTGGAGCAGCGTAAACTGAATGTGAAGGTAAAAAAATACATATAGTCTGTCTAATGTCATTCTCCTTGAAAATATGTTTTTCTGTCTACTAGAAGACCACGAGAGAGATAACCAAGCACCCTGAGCCCAATAATGTGGAAACGGCAATGCCCAAAACTACAAGTCTAATTTCTAGCCTAACTTATGTTGCCATCACTCCAGGAAGCAACTCCAGGGCAGATACACCTTGGAAACAGCCCCTGCCTCCCCAGCAGCCTCAGCTAACAATGACCTGGAAGAGAAATTTTGTGCCACCAAAAGTCTTGGCACTAATAAGGGGTTCCACATCAAAAATGGATATGGCTTTATGAGTGTGAAGTACTGTGCTAGGTACCAGAAAAAAATGCAATTCAGATACAGTCCCTGCCCTCGTCAAAGGCAGGCCAGCTCAAGAGATTTGATTCTCAAGTCAATTTGTAGATATGTTCTCATTATTCAACCACTGTATTAACATCACTATAGAGAGAACAATATAATGAATAACCCCCAAATCATTTCTATCTGGCATTACAGCGTATATCACTGGAACGTATTATGTAGAGCTTGAAAATATCCTAAGAAGTCACCCAATCTAAACTCCTCACTGATCAGACTGGGGAGCTGAGAGACAAAGATGCTAGCTAGATAATGGGCTCAAAGTCATGCAAACTAGTAAGCAGCAAAGTTAGAATTAGAAACCGCAACTTCCCCACTTTTGTTTCCAAGTAATGAATAATATTGGCCAATCACTGTTAATTATCTAAAGACACAATACATACACATACATACCACATGCATATATACATATATTAGCCACAGACATGTACATTATAGATACATACACCACACAATGCACATATATACATATACATACATAACCACATACACATATTATCTTCATGTACACACATAAACACAAATACACACCATACACACATATGTGTGTGTGTGTGTGTGTGTGTATACCACAGAGGAGAGAGAAGGAGGACATCTCAACCTAGATTTGTGATTTTATTGATGTGAGGCACTCCCTTAGTGGAAGCTCCCTCCACCAATCTTCTGTAACTTAGGGTCTTAGAGAGCTGCTTGGGAGCACTGAGAATTTATGACATGAATACAAATTTAGCATGTGTCAGAAGCAGCACTTCAGCCTAAGTCTTCCTGATTACAAGACCAACCCTCTATTCATTACACCACATTGTTTCTCTCCATATACATGAATAAGAATAAATAATTGTTATTGATAATATGGTACAATCTTTTATTGGTTTAGAGCTTCCATTAATTTCAAAAGGTTTTCACATAAATTATCCCATTATTTCCCTACTATAACCCTATGAAGTAATGACTGTTACTCACATTTGACAGACGAGAAAGCAAAGGCCCAGAGAAATTATAATGTTCTCAACATTCAAAAACTACATCAGTTACAAAATGGGCTAGAGCCCAGGTCTCCTGGCTCTTAGATCTGCTATAATATACTGCCTCAGTAAGAAAATTTTACTGAATGATTTGGCTTAAGGAGTAAAAGAGGCAAGAATTAAAATAGCTTCTTGAGGGATACGTCAGCTTTTATTGACTAGTTTTACCCACCTATGCATTTTCTGTGAGCATAATTGTCTTCAAACTGCCTCATTTTATCCTCAGAGATTTTTGCATCCCTCCTCAATATTTTCCCACCTGGGAGTCATTGATTGAAACTGTAGTTCTTTGTATATTGTCTCCTCCCTTTAGACAGTGAGCTCCTTGAGAGCAAGGACTGTCATTTGCCTTTCCATGTATCCTCAGAACTTTTAGAACAGTGTTTGGCACATAGTAGAAACTTAATAAATGATCTTTGACTGAGTTACTGACTCCTCCTATCACAGTTTGAAAATGACCATAATCATTTTCTAATGGACAAAATAAGGTACAGTAGTAGGAGGCTCTTTCTGGGCTTCAGAGACTCTAGAATCATAAACTCTTACAGATGGAAGGGGCCCTCTGGGCCAGCTAGACCAATCTCTTCCCTAAAGAAGGAATCTATTGTATCCCTAACCTGAGGATTCATCTAGCCTCAGCATGAACACTTTCAGAAATGGATAATTTACCCCTTATCAAAAAGACCATATTTTGTTTGGGATAACAAAGATGTTAAGGTGTTTGGTGTTTTCCTCTGTCACAAGCCAAAATCTCCTCCATAAAACAATAAAGGCGTGATGTAACAAAGTCCAGACTTCAGGTGAATGCTGACTGGTAGTCCAGTGCTCTGCAGATCTAAGTAGCTCATAAACATTATTTTAAAGGGAAGATGAAGGCAAAGGAGAACCATTTCAGAAAATCTATTTATTCAACATGAGCACACAGACAAGGCAACACTGTGAAGTAGACCTTGGTTGCACCTTGTCCTTCCCTCATCAGTGTTTCTCTCTCTCTCTCTCTCTCTCTCTCTCTCTCTCTCTCTCTCTCTCTCTCTCTCTCTCTCTCTCTCTCTCTGTCTCTCTCTCTCTCTCTCTAAGGTAATTGGAATTAAGTGACTTGTCCAGAGTCACACAGCTAGTAAGTGTTATGTGTCTGAGGCTGTATTTGAACTCAGGTCCTCCTGATTCTGGGGCCACTGCTCTATCCACTGCACCATCTAGCTGTCTCCATCAGTGCTCTCTTGATTCCCTTTTCACCAACCCAAACATCCTCCTATGCTCTGGATTATCTCCAGCTACCTCATATTAATTCTCCATCACTCTGTCTCCTCTTTCTCCAAGTCCATTTCCTGATCATACATTACATCAAACAAAGGAGAGCAGTATGGTATTGTGAAAAGAAAACTGGGCTTGGAGTCAGGAGACTGATTCAAGTCCTGACTCTGCCACTTACTATCACTATGATCAAAGACAAGTTGCTTAAAATCTTTGAGCCTCAGTTTCCACTTTTATAAACTGGAGCTAGTAATACTTTCATAAACTGCCTTCTCTGGTTGTTGTGAGGAAATTCCAGCTTTCAGGCTGTGTGTAATCATGCAACACCTTAATTCAATCCAAATGCAAATACCTCTGGCAGATATTAGAAATTTCAGTCCCCACAGCAGGTCAAGGGGGCCTGTTGAGCTCCCTCAACTCATGCCATCCAGACAGCTACTTATTCCTGGCATATATCCTGGTCCTACCTATGGGAGAGGTAGACATTTGGCTCTAGTACTAAGGCTAATGGATAAAGCTTATGAAAGATATAGTAATGCGTCTCTACACATTGGAAGTATAAGAAAAGATTCTATGGAAAATGAAATCCGTAGTACTTACTTGAGGTGAGGAAAAGCCAGTGAGACTCTGTGAGAGAATGCCACTTGGATGTACCAGATACACTTGAAGGGCACTGACTGTGTAGGTCCCTTGGGGCTGGAGAATTTCCCCGAAGGCTTTGTGAGAATTCCACCACAGACAGGTGATGCTAAAAACAAAACAAAAATATGAGAAGGTGGTGGAAAGGTGGGCTTTCCATCCATGATACACATTGGAAATATTTTTCCATTCCCCAGTATTGTTCAGGATACCTTCAGGGATTTAGGTATCTTTACAAATAAGGGATTAAAAAATGATTCATATCAGGAGAAAATGAATGTATCAGTCACGTGAAAGAATGCTCCAAATAATAACAAATTAAAATTAAAAACTTCTGAGATCTCCCAAATACCCATCAGATTGGCAAAAATAACAAAATCAGTCAGTGGATAAAGATTTATTAAGCACCTACTGTGTGCTAGGTGCTGTACTAAGGGCTGGGGATAGAAAAAGAGGCAAAACACAGTACCTGTCCTGAAGGAGCTAACCATCTCATAGGAGAACAACCAACCGACAGATATGTAAGAAAAAAACCCCAACCCATGTACAGGATAAACAGGAGATTGTTAAGGGAGAGAAGGCACTTGACTTGAGGGGCTGAAAAAGGTTTACTGTGGATTGTATTTTAGTTAGGACTTAAGGTTTGTAGAAGTGGTGGTGGAGATGAGGAGGAAGAATATTGCCAGCATGGGGAACAGCCAGGGAAACTGCCTGTGGCTGAGCATGGATGGTTCTTTCAGGATAAATTTCAAGTGTTAGACCCTCCAAGAGAACTAACCTGCTGGGCAAACAACAACCTTCTCTATTTTTCACCCCCCCAAAAAAAGTGTTCTATTACCCTTATTTACCTAAGGATATTAGAAGTCAATAGTCATCAGCTAGAGTTTCCTTCTGTCTGACCCAAAGCCCTCAGGCTGTAAATTTAACCTATTTCTTGTTCTCGTCTGTGTCTTTTCACATTCTTTAAGATTATTATGAATGTCAGTTCTCGCTGAGATTTTTCTCAGCAGCTCTTTAAGAGGCATGTGCATAGTTTACCTTGTACCTTTTCAGCAGAGTTTGAGAGCTATACTAGGGATCATCCACACCTAAGACCAGGAGTGACATCTTCCAGGAAAGTTGAGTATGAGATAAGGTAAATATTTACATTCAGGTGTGCATTCAAAACTGGACAGAAAGTAAAATGAGGCCATAGTCACCAAATGTGGAATATCCCGTAGTGGTTTTTGGCACCTAGCGGCCCAGCGAGAAACATTTCCTCTGGGAAGCTAATTCCAGCTATACATAATTCTCTTATTAGGGGACTTGCATATGACATGAAAATGAGAAATATATAATAAAAACATGGCACCCAAAAGGGCTGAGATGATGCTCACCAATCCTTGTTGTCTCTGATGAGACAGTCCACACAATGCCTATTGATAGAAACAGATGGAGATTAGGTACCACTCTATGGTTTATATGTTTTAGAAATCCATGTCTATCCAAGACTATATATCTATATGGAAAGAAATCACATCTTTATAGTTGGGAGGGGGGTTGGTATCTGAAGGAAAGGGGCAGCAAGGTGGCCAGTGGATAGGGCACTGGGCTAGAGTCAGGAAGACCTGAAGACAAATCCACCTTTAGACACATACTAGCCACATTACTCTAGGCAAGTCACATAATTCTCTTTGCCTCAGTTTTCTTATCTATAAAATAACCTGGAGAAGGAAATGGGAAACCACTACAGTATCTTTGCCAATAAAACCCCAAATGGGGTCACAAAGAGTCAGATGTGACTGAACTACAACTGAACAACAGCATCTGAAGGAAAAATATTTTCTATTTCTCATTTTCAGGGAAAAGGTCAAAACCACTTAAATAAGTTAGCATTTTGCTCACTAAGGTTTTGGGGAGTCATTTATTAACCTCAACATGTATCGTAACTCATGCTCTTTGCATTGTCTTGCCTGATAATTTGATCAGGTGTTTTCTGTTCTATCATATTAATTTCAGAGATCACAGGACACCCAGAGTTTGAAAGAATTGTGGAGGCCACAAATGCAACCCACACCTAAACAAGAGTCCCCTCAATGATGTCCTCAAGAAATAGTCATTCAACCTTTGCTTGTGTTGAGGAAACCAATTACCTCCAGAAGCAGATCATTTCTCTTTTGAATTGCTCTCTAATAGTCAGGGTATTTTTCTTTCTATTGAACTGAAACCGGCTTCTTTGCAATTTCTTCCCACTATTCTGAGTTGTGCTTTCTAGGGCCAAGGAGAACAAGTCTTATCCTTTTTCTGTGCGATAGCCTTTAAATATTTGAAGACAACTAACAAACCCCTTTCTCCAAAAAAAATCTTTTTCATCTCTTTTAAACTATCTTCATATAAAATGAGCTTGAGGTCCCTCTCTCTACTGGCTGCTGTCCTCCAGACACTCACCAGTTTACCACTGGCATTTTTTTAGACTGACTCTCCCTATCTTCCAGGTTGGAAGTGAAGGGATCACTCATGGAGTCATCCCACTACAGAGCAGTACATGAGCTTTATTCTGACCCAGGCCAGTTTGCCCTTCTTTAGGCATCCTTGTGGTCCCCAGATCCTAGGGAGTTGTCATATTAATGCCAGCCAATGTAGACACCTAATCAACTTTAGCCCACTATAGTTCAGACCTCCAAAATTGATTAGATTTGCCAGCCTCAGATTCCCTGATTGCAGGGATTACAACAGGCACCTATCACTGCACCCAGCTCATTGTCTTTCTCAAAAGGTGGTTCCCAGAACAAAATTCATTACTCTTGCTGTAGTCCAAGCACAGCAGAGTTGAATGGGTCTCATGACTTGAACCCATCCAAAGCAGTTTTCTTACTTTCTCCTTACTTTTGTATTAGACATGTTTGTCCTATCCTTTCCAGTCCATTACCATTCACCTTGGCAGAGGAAACATGAGCAAAATACAAATTAAACAGGTCTGTTATATGAACCAAGTGAAATAATGTGTGAAACTTTTTTTGTCGGAGGAATGTACTTTTCCAAGAAACTGTCAGCACTCAGTTTCATAAGCACAACATAGTCCTTTCCCTAACCAGGCAGACACGATGGAAATTAATCTATTTCCCTTTTAAGAAACATCACCGTGGCCTTTTACTAACAATGCACTGACTTTTGACATGACTGGATTTACCTTGTCATGGGTCAATACAGATAATAATAGTTGAGGGTTGGTAACCTGCATTTGTATATGTTATCTCATGCTTCTTCACCAAGGCAAGTCCACTGAGTGATAAAATACAAAGCACTTTGAAATAATTGAATGATAACCAAGGGCAACTTGATACTAAGTTCTTTGTTTTAGAGCTTAGCAGCCAGCTTTCTTTTTACTCCAGTGACTACAAGGTAGCCAGAAAAGTCATGCTTTAGTTCCCCCCCTTACTCAATACGTATTGGTTATTCTTTTAGAAAAGTAAAAAAGCTCCAAATAGCAAATCCAAGGAAATGTCAAATGTATTTATGCCTCCAGCAATACTCTCAGATTTACCTTAATCTCTAACTTCAAGATTCCAGTGATTGCATTGATTGGGACTTCATGGTTTGGTTTTAATTAGTGATAGACTTCTGGGAATGAATTAGTGACCTTTGAGGCAAAGACTAGGGCGGAAATTAGAGGATTAGTGAATAACTAGAACAAAGAGGACAGCATTCTCACATGATATGGTTCAGTAGCCAGACCTGAACAGTCAGACCTGTGGTCTAAGACACTGCTACTTGTTTTCCTTTTATTGATATAATAAGAATAATAGTGCCTATTCTGCTGAGCTCACAGTAACTTGTGAGGCTTAACTAAGGTGTTGTTGAGTCGTTTCAGACGCGTCCAACTCTTCATGACCCCATTAGGGGTTTTCTTAGTAAAAATACTGGAGTGATTCACCATTTCATCCAGCTCATTTTACAGATGAGGAAACTAAGGCAAACAGGGCTAAGCAACTTGCCCAGGGTCACACAGCTACTATGTGTCTGAGACTGGGCTTGAGCTCAGGTTCTCTTGACTCCAAGGCTGGTGCTCTATCCATCATGTACCTCTCAGCCCCCAAATAAGATGACTTTGTTGAAAGTTCTCAAGTGGAAGCCTGTAGAAATAGATGAGATTTCTAGACAGCAGCAGTAATGCTTATGGTATAGTCAAGGAATACAAAAGGTTTAAATCAAGATGATGAGAAACCGAGGCAATCCCCATCAGAAATCCTCTGCCTAACACTTTTGATGCAGTAGAGACTCTGAGTACTTGTTGATTTGAACAGATTTGGCTTGCTTCTGCCTTGTCTTGTGTTTTCTGTGTTTCTATCTGCCTCTTCGTCTGTATGTCTTCTGAGCACACTCTGGTTTTCTTTCTTTCTCATTCTGATCAACCTTTCTACTGATACCAACAGAACATACAAAATACAGAAAGTAACCCTAAGTCCCTTGAGACATACATTAACTTTCTGTAAGAACAGGAATCCTGTAGCAAGTCTAAAGGATTTCTAGATATTGAATCAGGAGTTTGGGCACCCATATGAGCATAGTGTATATTCCAGGGCCTTTCAAGTTTATCTAGAAACTAGAAAGACAGCACAGTGTATATAGTACAAGGGCTCTGGATTTGGGAGCAATGGATCTGTGTTCAAATCCTAGCTCTGGCATTTGTGAGCTTGACCAAGGCATCTAATCTTTCTAAACCTCAGTATCTTCATATGTAAAATAATGACAATAATACTTGTACTACTTACCTCACAAGAAGTTGCTAAGTGGGAAATGTTTTATAAATCTTGAAATGCTTTAGAAATGTGATTTCTTATTATAAACAAGCCTTAAGAGGTTGGAAGAACAAACAACATTCCCCCTGACCTGCCTAATGATACCAGATGTTTGTTGCACATGAGATAGTTTCCTATTTTTATCAGGCTGAAAACCAGGACCTGTCACTCTTCTCCCACTCCTTTCCAAATGCCTGTGGAGCAAAGGTATCAAACTCACAGCCCACTGGCCTTGTGGTCCAGCAAAACTCTTGAGTGCAGACCAAGCCAGATTAAAATATAAATGGGAGATGTTTAACAAAATAAATAACTAATACATACAATACAACCTAAGGTTTTCTAAGTCAATATGTGGCCTGCAGGGAACCATTTCTATTTTAGCTTGACACCACTGCTGTGGGACATACATGAGACAGAGTACATGGAACATCCCACAAAATGTTTACCGTTTGTTCTGAGTTCTATAGGTGATCTGCCATATTCAATGTATCTTTGGCACTATGTATAAGAAGATGTGTTGTTTGTTGGAATTGATCGCAGAAGCACAGAGACACCTGAGACCGTGTAGTCCAACCCATGAACAAAAACAAACTTCACAATATTGCCAACAAGTGATCATCTTGTCTCTACTTAAGGACCTCCACTGAAGGGGATCCCACTATCTACCAAGCCAGCCCATTTCCCTTTTGGAGAGCAATGACTGTTGGGAAATTCTGATCTACATTGACCCTAAATCTGCCTCTTGGAAATAGCTTAGAGAAGAGCTACGTGTGTTCTTTATCAATAGGCAAGATCTTCTAACTTTCAGTCAGGGAATTAAAAGAACAGAAATCAGGTGAGAATGGAACATACCTGCACTCAAAAGGAGGGTCCAGATGAAGCCCATTGACCTTTCCATTCTAAATAAAGATCCTGTCGGCCCAGCCTGAAGAGTGAGCATTGAAGTATGCATGCTGAGGGCTATATAGTGACATGACCTGAAATATGATCTTTTCTTTATCCCTGGGGAAAAGGAAATATAAATTCTTCATAACATGTCTTTGAGTTAATTTAGTTGCCACGCTGTTCCATCAGTGAATCTTTTCACCTAGACTGAAATAATGGCCCATTTGCTTCTCTTTTCCTCCTTTTGTGGTCAGGGAAGAGGAGAGGTAAACTTCTGAACAGTGAGAAGCCAGGCTGACAACACCTGTTTGCATAGCTCTTAACTTATTAAAGGATTTTCACATGAGCCTATGTAAAGCCCTATGAGGTAATGTTAGCAAAACTTCTCTCATAGACATGGGCTTCTGTTACATTTACATTTCATGATGCTTCTTTGCAGATCATACCAAGCAGCTTACACTTTTACATGTCTTCCTCTGAGATTAAGAAAATAAATGAATTAATGATACAGAAAAATATATTAATTACATTGGGAAACTATTAGTTGATATGCAAGCATACAAATTCTTAAACATCCAAATGAGCATTAACTAAATCTGACAACTACTTTGGATTATGAGCTTAACTTAAATATCTTCTCATGGTAAATGGCACACATTCTAGGCAGACAGAGGAGACAAATGTGCAAGGGAGATGAACAGGGATAAGATTCATCAGGGTGGGGAAAACCAAACACACAGAACAGAATTCTGGCAGTGAAAGCACCTGAAGGAATATGACAGAGCAATAAAGAATACCTTTCTCAGAGTTGTTATATCATGACTGAAATGCTTTGAAATTCCTGGTAAGGCTAGAGTGTTTAAAGCAAGAGTGTTTCTGAGTCTCTGGGTCCTCAGAGAGTGAAGGACAAGTTACCTCGGAGTTTCTCTCCAAGCCAGAAAAGGAAGGAAAGAAAGAAAGAGAGAGAGAGAGAGAGCGAGAGAGAGAGGGGAAGGAAGGAAGGAAGGAAGGAAGGAAGGAAGGAAGAAAGGAAGGAAGGAAGGAAGGAAGGAAGGAAGGAAGGAAGGAAGGAAGGAAGGAAGGAAGGAAGGAAGGAAGGAAGGAAGGAAGGAAGGAAGGAAGGAAAGAAGAAAGGAAGGAAGGAAGGGAAATGAAGGGAGAGAAGGGAAGGGAAACAAAAGAAAGGGAAGGGGAAGAGGAAAGAAGGGATGAAGAAGGGAGGGATGGAGGAAAGAAGAACGGAAAGGAAGGGAGGGAGGAAGGGAAGAAGGAGGAATGGAGGAGTGGAGGAAGGAAGGAAGAAAGGTAAGAAGGGAAGGAGGAAAGAAAAAAGAAAAAAAAAGAAGGAAGGAGAGAGGGAGAATAGGAGGAAGAAAGGAAAACAAAATTATCTTTCCCAAAATAAGAAGCAGCAATGAGAAAGCTTGAGATGAAAACCTATCCTTAATATTTTTTCATATCTCTGCACATGATAGCAGTAAGTTCAAGGACCCCAGCTCCTGGGATAGGATTCACTTTTCAACCAGAACTTCCGGGAAAGCAGAAATTAGGGTTAGACCAACATCTCACACCATATATAACAACAAATTCCAGATGAATACACAACCAATTACAAAAGATCATATCATAAACAAATTAGAGGAGCAAGGAAGGAGCTACCTTCCACAACTATGGATAAAGGAATGGTTCTTGACAAAACAAAGAGTAGGGATTTTTACAGGAGACACATAATTTTAATTACATAAATTTTGCTCATACAGTCAATGCAATTAGAATTAGGAGATCAATGCATTTGGAATATGGAGGGAAACAGTTACCTGTGGAGAATTTTTTCACGGCAAACTTTTCTGTTAAAAGGCTTATATGCCAGAAATAGAGAAGTGATTCAAATATATGAGAAAAGGAGTCATTTCCTATTAGATAAAATGATCAAAGGATATGAACAAGCAATTTTTAAAAAAATAAAAACAAGCTATGAACAACCTTATGAAAAATGCTCCACTTCACTAATAATAAAAGAAAATAAAATTTAAATAATTATAAGATTCCATTTCCCACCCATTTTATTGGCAAAAGAAGAGAAATTATCAATTATTGGAGGGATTGTGGGAAGTTAGGCAAAGTATAATACTATTGAATTGGTCCATTCTAGAAAACACTTTGTAATCATGCTAAAAAAAAAAAGACTCTAAGATGTGCATACTTTTTTATTCAGAAATGCCTCTGCTAGGTATAGACTACAAATATACACAACTCTTTGTAGAAGCACATCTTTCATATCAAAGAACTGGAAGCAAAGTGGGTATAATTGAATATAAATTATGGTATAATAATGTAATTGGATATTATTGCACTGTAAGAAATGATGGGAGCCTGGGTGCAGTGGCACACAGCTCTCATCCCTGACACTGCAGAGGCTGAGGCTGGTAGATCAGTTGAATTCAGGAATTCTGAGCAGTGGTAGGCCCAAAGTTGAGGTGTCTGCATTAAGTGCAATGCCAACATAGCAAGCCTCATGGTTGGGTGGGGGAGGGGAGGATGGAGCTGCCTGAGAAAGAGAGAACTGAGCTAGGACAGAAACAAAGCAGGTCTTATATGCCTCTCTCCAGTGAGATCAGCCTGACAGTGGACACTCCACTTCCAGCCTGGGCAGGGGAAAAAGACTTAGTCTCGAAAAGTAAAAAAGAGAGAAAAAAACAAAAAGCAAGGCTTCAAAGAAGCCTTGGAATACTTGAATGAAATGATGGGATACAGAGGAAAGTGAGCAAAACAAGGAAAACAATGTATGAAATGACTATAACATTGCAAAGAGAAACAATTTTAAACAACCTGAGAGCTGTGATGGTACAATGACCAGTCAGGATGCCGAGGAACTATGATATCACCAGGACTAATCAGGATTCCAGAAAACTACTGCTGATTCTTCTTCTGTATGTACCTCTTGGTGGGGAGGTGATGAACTATGGGTGCAGAATGAGAAAAAATCAGAAAAAAACCGATGCCACACAAATGTATTTTGCTGGACCGACTGTAGATAATGTTGGAGTCAGGAAATCCTCAATTCAAACCCTGCCTCAGGCATTTATTAATTGAGTGGCATTGAGCAAGTCAATTCACCTCTCAGCCTCAATTTCTTTATCTGTATAATGGAGATAATAATAGCACTTACCTCACGGGGCTGTGGTGAGGATCAAATGAAACAATGTGTGTAAAGTGTCTTGCAGACCTTAAAGTGCTATAGAAATGGTCTCTATCCTCCTCCTCCTCCTCCTCCTCCTCCTCCTCCTCCTTACCATTATCATCATCATCATCATTATCATCTACCATGTTGGGTTTTTCTTTGGAAGAACTGTAGGAGGAGAATAGAGGCAGTAACAATGATGTAAAAAAGAAGAAAAGAAAAAAGAGATAATCAATGAAACATTTAAAAATAGAAGAAAGAAGGAAGCTCAGAAGGGGATCCAAACAACTTTTCCATCTTAAATTTAATATACACTTAAAAAAAACAAGCTGCATATAATAGATCCATAGTTCCACAAACGATCCTATTTTCTGCCCTTCCTTTTATATGGAAATGTTCATATTTGTTGAGGATTACCAAGTTCCTAATAAACAATTCTTTAAAACCATAAAAAAATGAATAAAAATGTGTACAAACTGTACCTTTCAGTATATTTCTTTTTTGCTTTTTTTGGTGAGGCAATCAGGGTTAAGTGACTTGCCCAGGGTCACACAGCTAGTAAGTGTCAAGTGACTGAGGCTGGATTTAAACTCAGGTTTTCCTGACTCCAAGGCCAGAGCTTTATCCACTGAACCCCCTAACTGCCCCTATTCAGTATAATTTTTAACAGAAGGAAAGAAGGAAGCAAGTAAGGAAGAAAATAAGAATCAGTAAAGGACCAACAATAAGCCAGGCCCTGTGTTAAGTGCTTTATAAATATTATCTCATTTTTATCATTAAAACAACTCTAGGAGATAAGTACTTTTTAATTTCCATTTTACAATTTAGGAAACTGAGGCAATAGAGTTTACATGACTTGCCCAGGATTACATAGTAATTATTTAAGGCCAGATTTGAACTCAGGTATTCCTGACTCTAAACTCAGTGCTTTATCCACTGGACCACTTTATTGCAGACTATATAGATATCATTGTCACCTTTTGATATGAATGCATATAAAATTGTTCTTTGTTTTAGGACATTTTTTTCCTATTTTCAGTGTATCTGGCCTTGCAAACACTTTTATAGTGCTTAGCAGTCTTAGGTACTTAATAAAATGGGTGTTGATTGATTGGCTGATCAAGCTCCAGAATACCAGAGAGCTCCTCGGTAAGATTCATAACCACTCGAAAGAGTTTGGCCTAACTATCCACCATGGACAATCCTAGAGAATGGAGAATGCTGATTGTCCAGATCATGATATAAAGTTACATGGATGATCCATAAAGTTCTTCTATTGGTGTATACACACAAACACACACACATTCACACACATACATACACATACATGTTTTTTGGAGAGACCCTGTAAATGGACAATGGGGTAGGTACAGAATTGAATAAGAGGGCCAGCTGTGTTTGGAGGTAATACAGAATTGTATATGTATACAAACATACACACATACAAACACATACATCTTTCTTTGAAAAATTATTACAAATGGACAATGAGATGAGTATAGAATTGAATAAGAGAAGAAGTGTCTGGAGATAACACAAAGTTCATTTAACAGCCTCAAGACAAAGGCCCATCTTCTTGATACAAATATTCTTCCAGTGATGGGGAGAGACTAGAAGTCATGGAACAGCATAGTTGCTTAAGAAATGAAGTTGAGGGTCAATCAAAAGGTATTTGATAGCTGTTTCAAGAGCTCTTTACCACCTTTAGGATAAAATACAAGATGTTCTATCGTTGGCTTTGAAATCCTTTCATAATTTTGCTTCAGCCTACCTGTCTAGCTTATCACACATCGCTCCCCTTCACACACTCTGTGTTCTAGTTTAAACTGTCCTACTTACAATTCTTCATAAATGACATTCTGCCTCCTGTTCCCAGGCTTTTTGCAAGGCTGTCTACCATTTTGGAGGTCATTCCCTACTAACCCTGGCCTTTTATAACCCTTAGCTTTTTTCTTAAAGCTGGGACTGATTAAATAATTCAAATATGTCACTACGAGCCATTATTATGATTTCAGTGTCTTTTTCTGGTACTCCAGCACTCAGCCTGCTAACAGTAGATGTGACATATAGTCATACCCCCACTTGACCAAGGGAAACTACAGCCCAAAATACCAAGCTTGTTTTTAAAGATCTCAAATCAGAGATTGCTCTAAAATCTAGGTTTTCTGACTCTCAGACTAGAGGAAACTTTCTACTACACTGCCAATGGCCTGCACCTAACACATTTAAGAACGCCCTCTCCCCCCAAAATTGCAATATAGCTTTCATCTTCTGAGGGATGTAACTCAACTTGGTAGCTTCTGTAGAATACAAATCAGTGATACAATAATAGTTATTATATAATGTTTTCATTACAGCAACCCTATGAGATAGGTCATGTAGTTATTCCCTTCACAGTACTGTCATCCCCAGAGTACAGATGAGAAAATTGAGGCATAGATTGCTGAGATGGTTTGTCCAACTTGGGGTCATAGAGCTAATGAATGTCAGAAGCTAGGAGTAGAAACCAGATCCTCTGACTTCAAATCTAGAACTCTTTCTACCACCACACCTCTACAGGAGGAGTCTTGATCACTATCAGTGATCTTCAATTGTTTGCCTTTGTTAATGAGTCTTGAGACTCTGTTCCACATGTATTTTCCTTTAAACAGAGTAAGTAGGATGGTCAATCATCCTCATGGTTTTGAAAACCTTAAAACCTTGAGTCTTAATAAATTTATTAACAAAATATTAATTCCTTTAGGACACTCCTGAGTTACTTCCTTTTTTCCTTTTAAATTGGGCCCAAGCTCTAAAGATACCCCAAGATCAACCACTTACAGCTTTAGCCTCTGGGAAATTTTACTGACCAAATATTTGTCATCTACTTAGCAAGTGCTAATATTTTTTTAAGTGAACATAGTTGGCTCTTGGTATATATGTGCACACTTTCATGTTTAGTTTTTCATCTTTCTATGGCACAAAGCCAGTCTTTGGCAGTTGGGGCCCAGGAAGAGTTTACTTCTGAAGGGCTTCAGATTTCAGTGCTGCTATAAAAGGTGGAAGAGAATAAATGGAATTCAGGGGTGGGGAAGGGAGGGGGAAGGATAAGAATAGTAACTCACGTTTATATGATATTTATTATTTGCAAAGCACTTTACTCATAACCGTATGAGATGGGCATTATAAATATCCTTATCTCCACTTTACAATTGGGGAAACTGAAGCTCAGAAAGGTGAAAAGACTGACCCAGGATCACAGATTTAGGAAGACTCTGAGAAGCCTCATGTTCTCAGTATGATCAGGAGTTCAGTTTCATGAGCTATATCTGAGCCAGGGGATTTGGAAGGCCAGAGATAGAGTATATAGAGGTAGCAAAGAGAGGTCAAATCAGGAAAATGTGCATTTTACTAGCCTCATTCGACAAGCATAGGATGAATGAAGAAGCTTTGGCTGGATACAGCTCATGTTGAAAAAACACAACAACAACAATCTCCAGGTTTTGATGGAGGATAAGCTCATATCAGCCAACAGGCCAACATCCTCAGAAAAGCTTAGACTACATGGAAAGAGATGGAAAGAAGAAAGGAAGGAAAAAAAAGGAAGAGAAGAAGGAAAGAAGGAAGAGAGAGAGAGGGAGGGAGGGAGAAAGGGAGAGAGGAAGAGAGAAAGGGAGAGTGGAGGAAACCAGTATTTATTAAGCTCCTACTATGTACTAAATGCTTTATAAATATTCTCTCTTTTGATTCTCACAACAACCCTGTGAATTAGGTATTATTATTATCCCTATTTACAGCTGAAAAAAAGAGGCAGACAGGGCTTAAGTGATTTGCTCAAGGTCCGAAGCTACTAAGTATTTGAGGCAAGTCTACCTGACTCCAGGCCCAACACTTTATCAACTTCTCCATCTAGCTTAGCTGCCTTCGGGCAGAGTCTCCAGAAAGAGGTGAAAGATTTGTTGTGTACTGTGCTGGTGAGGACGTATCTAAAATATTGTGCTAAATTCTAAGAAAGATATTCACAAGCTGAAGTGTTCAGAGGAAGACAAATAGAATTTTTAGAGACCTCAAAACTATACCATGTCAGGAAGAAGAAACTAGGGAAAAGAGAAGCCATCAGAAAAGCATGATAGCTGCCTTTAACAACTGTCATGTGGAACCACAAATACACTCATTCTACTTGGCCCAAAAAGACAAAATCGGAAGCAAAGAGTGAAAGTTCCCTGGAGTTAGATTTTGGTTTATATAAGGAAATATAGAGTAGAAAAATATAGAGTAGAATGAGCCACTATTAAAAGGCAGTTGGTTTCCTCTAACTGAGATTTCTAAGCAAAGACATTTACTTATTAGAGAGATTTGAGAGGGACTTCTTGGTCAGGTGGGAGTTGAGTTAGATCATCTCTGAAGGTCACCTCTGTGATTCTGTGGTTCTGTGAATCTCGTAGTGATGAGTTTCTATGAGCTTAATGAGGCCTTTCTAGATATTAAGAAATGTTAGAGCTTACCCTCCATTAACATTAGTCTTCAGGAGCCATATTTCACCTTCATACCAATAATGAGGCATCCGAGTAAAAATTTAGCATCATGCCTTAACTCAGATAAAATGCAAATGTCTCCAAAAGACCTTTAAGGCCATGCAGATTGGTACAGAGGAAAGACTCCTGGCTTTGGTTGACTTCTTACACTGACTCTGTCCCTGACTCATTGTGAGCCC